GCTCCCAGTCCCCCTGACTGCCCTGACCCCATCCATACCCCCGCCCCCTGACAGGCCCCCTGGGACCCCCATGCCTGTCCAACCCCCCCTGTTCCCCATCCCCTGACCGCCCCCCCCCTCAGAACCTCCGTCCCGTTCAACTGCCCCCTGTCCCCTGACTGCCCCCTGGGGCCTCCCGCCCCTTATACAACCCTCCGGCCCCGGCCCACTTACCACGCCAAGCAGAGCATGCAGAGCAGCATGTCTGGCTGCCGCACCAGCCGGAGCCAGACGCGCTGCCGGTCTGCTCGGCAGAAGCATGCAGCTCTGCTGCCCAGAGCGCTGCCCGCACAGCGGCGTAGCTCTGCGGGGAAGGGGGGGACAGCGGGGGAGGGGCCAGGGGCTAGCCTCCCCGGCCGGGAGCTCAGGGGCCAGGCAGGACAGTCCCGCGGGCGGATGTGGCCCACCTCTGGTTTAAATGATTCAGAAACATTAAGTTGCGCAGATGTCATAGCCAGCCAGTGTAACCACACCGTCCTATTGCTATTGTTACCCTCGCCTCTCCCCCTCCTTCCTACAATCGCCTCTTGCAGCTTGTTCCAAAGTATATTGCAAGCTCTTTGGGGCAGGAACCATGTTCTCCTCTATTGTTTGTTCAGCACCCAGCACAAAGGAATCCAAATCCTGAATGGAGCCGCTGGGCACTACCATAACATACATATTCAATCATATAATTGGGTACAGGCTGTGAGATTCCCTGAGCCTCTCAGATTAGCAGGAGCCCCATGGGGGAGCTGATGAGGTCCTGCAGCATGTATTAGTCACCATGGGTGATTCAAAGATGGTTTAGGGCAAGATTCTTTCCAGCCAACCCCATCACGTAGCCACATGAGTCAGTAGGTTTTCAAGTGACCCCAGAGATGCCTGTGGGGGGGGGGGGGATGGGGTTCAAGCACATTGCAAAAGAGCTTTGTAACCTTCACATTGGGCAATGCTAAATGTCCCATTCTTGGCTTCCTAAGTGTTTTGTGGCCAGATGTGAATGGCAAGTGTGATAGCCCATTCTGCCTTTGGACAGAAGAAAGCAGGCACAAAGGAAGCAGGCTTGTAACAAAACTGGGGGGAGGGCGGAGAAGTGGCTTGAGACTTATAGTGCTGACTCATGTTTGGTACTTCCTCACCTCCCAGATCTCTGCTCAGGAGAGTCGCAGGAAGAAGAAGGAATATGTGGAGTGTCTAGAGAAAAAGTAAGTGTCTTCTCCTCCCTTCTGAGCATCCAAACAAAGGTATTACTGGAGATGAGGGCCACTGGCCTGCATACTGTCACTTCTCATCCTGTTTGTGCCGTGCTTGGGGCTCTAAAGCCCATCCGGCTGTCCACTCCACATGCCACTTCTGGGGGCTGGAATTCAGCTCTAAGCATTTCCCCCACAGAAATGGCTGCATCAGCCCCAAAGCTCTCTCTCCCAATCCTGGTACTGTAGAGGGATGGTCCAAAACACTACTGCTAGCAAAAGCAACGGCACTGCATGCTTGGGATGGCAGCCCTGTTCCGAGGGCTGTTAAGTTAAAAATATTCTTAAAGTATCTGAGATTTCAGTTGGCTCCTTTAATTAACTTCTGTGGCTCAGAGCACAGTCTAGTAGTGGTGACAACCTGTTTGACAGTGGTGAGTCCTCAGCATGCACCCAACTTTGGGGTGTTTGAGGTTTTAGTTCTAAATGTGATTCTCTGTACAGGTGTCAGGTTATTTCATGAGAATTGTATGGGTTTCTTGACACACTGATTTGGTTTGTGCACAGACCCCCCACCCAGCCTCCCCTCTGCCCCCAGACAGCCTATCAGACCCTTGCAGCACTAGATTATTCCTTAAAAAGCTCACTCATGTCTGCTTGCCTTATTCTGTTTGCCCCAATATCCCAGGCCTTATGACCCATTGTTCGGGTAGCATGTTTGGCGAGATGAATGTTTCCATAGTAGAAGCTGCTGTGGTCTGTCTGGTCACTAATCAGGGGCTTTGGAGTGCCATTTAAAATGGTGAGGGCAGGCACAGATTTTCCCCACCATCTAATGGCCCTCTTCTTTCCCTCTGAGGTGCATCCCCCACCAGCACCTGACACCCCTAGTCTATGAGCTCCTATGCCTACCACCTCGAAATCTGAGTCAGCACACTGGGTCACAGTGCCACTGAGGTTTGGCCCAGCCAAAAAGTGGTCAGGCCATGGCCCAGGCCCCCTCTGGCTTTGCAGCCTATGCTAACTACAATGTGGATCAAACCAAGTAAATGACTTGTCAAGTACATGCCCAAATACAGATTCTTCTGACATCCTATATTCAAATTTTGGTAATGGTAGTGTGACTACCACTACATTACATGTGCATCTGCTCAGATCAGAAATCCCACATTTGCATGAACATATGGAGTAATTGTACATCTCACTGCTTTCTGTATACGCTGTTATCTACTTTGCATATGGTGGATGCCATGGGAGCATGGACATTTTGGGGCATTAAATACAATCCCCTCATCCCTATACGTAAAGCTGATGACGCAAGTGGCTGATAGCCAGGAAGAAGCTAAGGCCATGTTTGTTCCCCAAAGTCCCCTGCTTGAGCTTTGGTTTTTTCCTTATAATGTGATGTGAGCTAGGGCAACAGGATCTACTTCCCTTCATAGTTCCCAGTTTGGCTGGCTGTCTGTGTTGCGGTTACAAGTTTAAAGTAATGGGACACTATCAGGTTAGAAATAATCTATGCCATGGCCCTGCAATCAGATCCATGCAAGAGACTCCCCTGCACTTGTGTGGAGCCCCAAATGGGCCTCTCAGACCCAGAAACCAGTCCGCAAGGATCGAATTTCATGACCAGTATTATAAAAGTATAGTGTCCTTTCCTATGTCATTAATAATACCTGAGATCTTTACAGTGGTCAGATTCTTTAAAAGGCCTACTTAACTTTTCACTTTCCTCGCTAAGTGGAGAGGAATGCACTGTGAAAACAGATGAGTCAGTTTCACCTTCTGGCTCTTATGCCCTTATATAATACAGTGTATGTGTGTGTGAGCATGTCTCCCTCTGGTGATTAGCCCATATTAAGGATAAAAGTCTACGTCTTACAGCTGATGGGATTGCTCCTCTAGTTTGAGTGGCAGGGTTATGTACTTTCAGTCCTGAAGGTCCGAGGTTCATCCCCACTCCTGGCCATAGTGTCTGTATGTACATGGCAGTTTATTACTCTAGCACTGTGCTGCAATATTTGGGCTACAGTGTAGATTTAAAATTTTAACAAAAAAATGTTCGTTGCAATTTCAAGTGTAACCAAAACATTTTTATTGACCTTAGTTAGTACAAAGCCTACAGTTTGGGCTTAAAAGGTTCAACCTGGCAGTGTCCCTTTAAGCACAATTTTTATATTGAATGGGTAGTTCAGAAACTGGACAAGGTCATTTCACATGGTTGTATGTACTGGAAAGTCTTCTGTTTTATTATTGTCACTTCCATGGCCACTATTCTTCCCCCAGCCCTGCAGAAATTTCCCTTCAGCTGTTCCCCGTACTTTGCTGGATGCTTTCACCATAGTAGTTACAGAGAAGAACTTGGAGAAAAGAGAGAGTGTGTAGGTTCTCCACTGCCCTCCAATGGCTAGAGCTGGTCACATGTTTGAGCCAGGGATTCTCTTTCCCTAATAGGGTGCAGCTAATGCAAATTCTCCTTTAGCTCAGGGGGTAGAGAGGCCAGAATTGTTCTAGTGGAAGGTTCTCTGTTAATGTTTTCCATGGCCCATGGATGTAATTTGCTGATGATGGAGACATCTATGTGGCCTTGCATATGCTACAAATGTAACATGGCTGTAGTAACTCTCCCAGACTTAGTGAGAGTCTCTTCCCAGGTCCGAGACTTGTAGCCACTTGGCACCATGCGAGTGAAACACTGCAAAGGAATTAATGTGCATTGAAGGGATTCAATCTTTGCTCTGATCCCTTGATTGTTAGCATCAGCTGAGAACATGTAGCTAGACTGCACATGATCATTTGACTCCTGGAGGTGGGAGCACATCTGCCGGAGGCTGAGGACACAGGGCTGTTCAGGGGCTGGACTCTGATGGAGGACGGGGTCCAATGTTTGTCTCTTTTTTGCAATGTTTGTAACTAACGGGATTTGGGTTTTATTCCTGCAGAGTTGAGACTTTCACATCTGAAAACAATGAACTGTGGAAAAAAGTGGAGACCTTAGAAAATGCAAACAGGTGAGAGAAGCCAACCCCGATCTCTTCTGGGGTGGCTGCCAAGAAGGGAGGCCAGGGGAGTGCTTGGAAGGAAAGGCAAGGCAGCCCTCCCCCAATTCCTGGCAGAGTCTGGGCTGCTCAGCAGGGCCTGGTTCCCCTCCAATGGCAGCAGCAATTCAGCTGGGTTTGGTTAGAGAGTGTGGAATGTTTGTGTTGGGTCAGCCAGGCAGGGGCTGTCAGCAGAGAAAGGGAAGGAGCAAGGGAGCTTTCTGCCTCCCTTCCTTCCTCTCCTCTTCCCACAGCCCAGAATCCTTCTCCGGATTCTGACTGCCACTCAAACCCCTCCACTCTTCTCCTTGTCTCCATGGAGGAGGCCCCAAAAGGCACGACACCCATCTCTCAACCCCCTTGCTCTGCTCTCTGAAGCACAGAGGGCTAGGGAGAAGGCCTGGGAGAAGACAAGGGCATAAGATACCAGTTTGGGATTTCCCTAGAAGGAAGAGCTAGGTTTACAAGGTGACTGGACAGACTCTAGGAACTTTCTTCTCATCTGACCTGGGCATAGGTCCCATCTAACCCAAAGCAGCTCCCTCCAAACATGACACCAGTGCAGACCCTGTTATCCCCTGCAGCCTGAGGGGGCCCTCTCGGTGTCTGGCACCCATGCAGATCCCATTATATCTCCCCCGTTCCCCCAAACCTGTGGGAGCTCCTCCTTGTCTGACACTGGCACAGCTGCTTGCCCAAGGGAGTAAGTCTCTCCTCTCAGCCCTAAAGCAGGCCCCTGGCTTCCTGGGCTGAAAATCTGGAGAGCGCGTGGGGTCTCAGTGCTCGGAGCTGGCAGCCTCTCCACCCCAGGAATTTGTTTCCTTTGAATCTTTAACATGGAAGGCACATACACATGCCATAGAAATAGGAAGCGGCACTTGGAATTGGAGTTAGCTCGGCCTCCTTTCCCTGTGCATGTGTGGCAGAGCAAGAGCAGAGTCAGCAGCTAGGGACTGCCAGAAGTTTGGGGTGAGTAGGGAGGGCTCTCCTGAACGTATTCCTATGCACATGTTCCCTTTGTTCTGAATTCACAACCTCCTGCACATGCACTTAGATACACGCCTCACAGCCGCACTAGGCTCTGGCAGCTGCACATGGGGATTCCTTTCATCCACGAGCCTTCGGTCAATGGGACAGGAACTGACCGGTGACCCTATTAACCAAACCCATCTTCCCACTTGACCCCACCACCATGATTGGAGCTCGCCAGGGGCCATTGTCCTCCCTGACCTCGCTCTGAGGCTCTTTGTCAGATTCTTTTTCTCTAATCCCCTGACGCTGAGGCTCTGACTCCAGCTTCCAGGTCAGATGCTGCTCTTTAGAGACCCCGTCCCCGGAGATGTCAGACAAATGCCTTCCCAGCTTTCAATCGGTGTTTCTTTTGTAACCTCATAGATGGTTGTGGCCTGCCACCTGCTGGAAAGATTGTGAACGGCAGCCCATTCCTCCCTTCCCAGCACAACCCCTGAATTTCCTCCATCTGTGCTTTTGAGAAGCAGCCAGGAGCAGAAGCAGCATTGTCAATCCCAAGCATTCAAAAGTCATGAGTCAGGATCCCATATTCATGTGATTGGCTTAAAAATCATGAGTTGTTACAAAATAAGAAACACTGAGTTCATTTTATCGGCCTTGTAAGCCTGTAGAGGTCATGTTTTCCACTTTCCTCTATGGCCATGCGGGCTGGAAACTAACTTTTAAAACATATGAAATCTAAGATTCTCCTGGAATCACCAGACTCCAGGAGCTGGGGCTTTAAGGAAAACCCCAACTACCACAAGACTTGCAATAAGATTGCAAGAGTTGGCAATGCTGCAGAGGGGAAATTACTAGGCAATTTGTAACAAGAAAATCTGGGCCTCCTGGCTACAGAGCCCAAGGCTCACTAATGCTCCTTGCAGCCTCTCCCCCCCCCCCCGGAAAATTCCTTTGCCATGCCAGCTAAACAGTTCTGCTCTTTAGTAATATGTTCAGAACTGGGGGGCGGGTACATATGAGGTAATTTAAACAAGACAGTAAGCCTGTTATGTGTCAGCCAGGGCAACCAGAGGAGGAATTATTCACTCAGCTCTACATTTGGCTTTGCCCACAGCCCCCTGCAGCGCCTGCCAAGAGAGATGAAGTTGAAACGGATCACATTTTATTTTTGCTTCCCTCTCAGCCTTATGCTCCAGGGAGTGTGGGTAGTGCTCTTGGATGTGCCCCCCAAGGCAGGCCGTTAATCCGGTTTGGGCCAGACAGCCCTCATTTTCTAGGATTTGTCCCCTGTCGGGTACTGAGACAAAACCAGATGTGGGTTGGTCTGGCTTCACAGATGAGGGACGCCATTTTGAACAGCATGCTGCCCTGCCCCTGCTGGCGTGAGCTCACCCATCCCGTGTCTGTGAGGTCACACCACCGGGGACGGGGTCATGCCGTTCCCAGAAGTACTGGAATCTCCTGTATTGTGGGGTTGTGGCAGTGGCCATACCATGCACCCCACCCTGGGTATTGGATGTATCTGGGCAGCCTGGACTGGAGTCCAGTTCTGGCTAAATCTGATTGTGGGAGATCAGGGCGGAGGGGGTTTATGTGGCACCAGGAGAAGAGATGTCCTTCGCCCAACTCCTTTCAGCTCCATTATTGCCTCCATCACTATCACCTTCATTTCTCTGCTTCCCAGGCCTATCTGGTGGGAGGACTTGGAGAAGTGAAGAAGCTCTTCTCATTCAGAGAAAAGCTGAGGTGGACATTGGAGAGTCCACCTTCAGTCTCATATCCCTCAGTGAGCGTTCCCTCTTCATTGTGGTTGTATTCTCTCCTAGGACTCTGCTCCAGCAATTACAGAAGCTCCAGGCCCTAGTGGCTGGGAAGGTCTCCAGACCATATAAAATGGCTTCCACACAGACCGGAACCTGCCTAATGGTATGTGCCTCAGGCCCTCCATTCTATATTGGCCATGATTCCTTTTGCACCTTTATCCATCACCCCATTCCCAGACAGGCCAGGGATTGTTCTCTATAGCATGCTTCCAGCCTTGAATAACTAGTGGATACTATGCCAGTGTCCAACAAAAAGAGGGGCTTTATTTAGGCTAATTATTTCCTTGGAATAAAGGGGGGAAATCAAGCACATAGCCCTCTCTCCAAGGATCCTCAGCATATTTCTCGGATTCCAGAAGAGCCTCTTCCCTGTTTCACTGCGTTATATTCCCCACCTTTGAGGCCAAATATAAGAATTGCCAGACCAGATTGGACCAGGGGTCCCTCTAGTCCACTGTCCCACCTCCGACAGTGGCCAGTGCTAGATGTTCCAGAAGAAGGTGTAAGGAACCCTGCTGTAGGCAGTTCTGATGAAATAATCTGTCCACAGGGGAAGTTTATGCACTGAAGCAGGAGGGTTTATACCTGTACTGTATTTTTTATCCCCTCTAATGTCAGTGTGGATGTTCTCATTAACCATACATGCCTGATCCTTTTTATAAATCCTACTAAGCTCTTAGCCTCAGATAGCTTGTGGCAGGAGTTCCACAAATTAATTCTGCACTGTTTAAAAATCATTCCCTTTTACCTGTTCTAACTCTGTTGCCTTTCAGTTTCATTGAATTCCCCCTAGTTCTTTTATTATGAGAAAGGATAAACCAGTGTGTCTGATCTACCTTCTCTGCACCATTCATTATTTAACTCTCTCTTGCCCCTTATTTGTATCCCCTCTAATTTAGCAATCCCATTCTTTTCAATCTCTCATCATACAGAGTCTCTCCAGGCCTTCACTCATTCTCATTGCCCATCTCTGAACCCCCTACAGCTGCTATTTCATTTTTTGAGAGTGGGTGACCAGAACTGAGCATAGTGTCCCTGGTGAGAGTATGCCATTATAATGGCATTATAATATTTTCTATCTCATTTGTCATGCAAACAGCCTTTTCTTTGCTTTTTGTCAACCACTGCACATCAAGCAAAAGCTGTAATTGAGCTCTGACAATGGTGCCCAGATCTTTTCTCCTGTATGGTTCTAGTTAATGCTTAATGCAGCAAGATGTATGAATAGTTCAAATTATTCCTTCCGACGTGCATTATCTTATATTTCTCGACAGTGAATTTTATCCAGTATTGTGCTGCCTATTCATCTAACTTCGTTAAATTCCTCTGAAATACCTCAAAGTCTGCTCTAGCCTGCACTAACCACATCATTTTGTGCTACCTCCCTGTTTGCTCTTTTCACAGATCGTTGGTAGATTCATTCAACACCACAAGTCCTAAAATGGACCCACACAGGCCACGCCACTATTAATCTTTGGCCATGAGGAAAATTGACTTATTTATTTGTACTTTCTGTTTTTTCGCCTCTTGGATAGTTCCTGGTCCATGACAGATCTTTACCTCTCATCTTGTGACATCTAGAGTAATTTTCTTAATAGCTTCTTGTGCAGGACTTTGTCAAAAGTTCTTTTGAAAATCCAAATAAATGAAATCAGTTCTCCTTTATCCACCCCTTTGTTGACAGAGCCATCAAATTCTAGTAGATTGGGAGGCTACACTTTTCTTACAGAAGTTGTGCTGATTTCTTCCTAGTACATCAGGTGTTTCCAAATTTATTTTTAATCCTGCTTCAAGACACTTGGTACTGAAGTGAGCCTGTAATTCCTAGCATCTCCCCTTTTTACAGTTAGATAAAACATTTGCTAATCTCCAGGGCTCCCATGTAGGAGAAGATTTTAATGAGAGATTGCATACTTCTGTTAGCAGCTCAGCCACTTCATTTTTAAATTCCTTCAGAACCATTGGATGTAAACTGTGTATCTGGGCCTAGTACCTCATTGCTCCTTCATGTATCTGTTTCTTCCTGGACCTCCTCAGTCTCTGACAACTCTTCATCTTTATTGCCTGGAAATGGTAGGTCTGGGACAGGTATCTCTCAGCTGTGCTATAAACTAATGCAAATAAATATATTAGCTTCTCAGCAATGTCTTATTTTCCTTAGTTGCTGCCTTCACTCCATGGCAGTCCAGCAGATGTACCAGTTCTCTCACAGGCTTCTGGTATATTTCAATAATTTATTTGTTTTTCTGTCTTTGGCTATTTGCTCTTTGTAGTCCCTCTTTGCCCTCCCAATTTCCATCTTCCATTTCACCTCCCCTCATTTATGCTCCTCTCTGCTGGCTTCATTAGGGTTGAATTTCCATTTTCTGAAGGATATCTTTTTTGGCTCAAATAATCTCTTAAATCTTTGGGTTTACCCATTCTGGGTTGTTCCCCCCCCCTATTTTCCTGAGTTGGTGAGGGGCCTGAGTGCCTTTGTGTGCATAAGTAGCCTCCACGCAGAGAGAGTAGCCTTCATGTTGAGTTTAACTAATTTCATTTCCTCACTTTTGACTATAGGAGCTTTTGTTGGACCAGCGTCTCCTTTTTTGAAATCCCCCTTTCTAAAGTGTAGTGTCACTGTGCTAGAATTTGGTGCCCTTCATTATACTGTGGTTACTTGGTCACTCAGCTATTGTTTCTTGATGAACCGACTTCTGTGTGTTACTTAGGACTGAATTAAAAATCTTTCCTCTTTTGTGCTCTAGAACTAGCTGTTCCAAAAAGCACTCGCTTAAGGTGTCAAGAAATTGCTTCTCTAGACTTTGTCCTGATGTGACACTTGACTCATTTATATGTGGGTAGTAGAAATCACTCATTATTGTTTTTTACTAGGCTATGTTGCCTCCTTGATCTTTCCAGCACTGTGCAATCAATATCTTTGGCCTGAGCTGGAGCTTGGTAGTATAACACTACTAGTCCATTTGTATTCTCGTGACATGGGATTTGTATCCACACAGATTCTTACTCTGAATTATCGCCCTAGATACTATAGAACCTCACGTACACTGTTCCCCCACCCACCCCTTGTGAGCTAACCTGTCCCCCCTGTATAGTGATAGATCAGTATTACAATAGCCTATTGATTTTCATCATTCTACTATGTTTCAATAATTCTAGTTATGTCAAGATCTTCTTCCACTGCCAGACATGCTCACTCACCTATTCGTGCTTTTCATCTTCTCACATTCATATAGACACCGATAGTTTTTATTTTTGACCATTTGCCTGTTTTTATGTAACTCCTTAATCTGAATTCTGATAAATCAACAAGATGTCTGATCTCAGGCTGGGCAGTGCATCTGTCATTTCGGTCCTGTCCTTTACTGGATACAGAGATACCTTTATTTAGCTGACATCCTTAGCAAATGTATTTGGCCTGAGTGCTTCTCAGCACCTGTTGGCTTTCTCCTAGCTCCTGCTTTAAATGATGCCCCCAAACTGTATTCATTGTCTGTACCAGCAGTCTGGCTCCACCTCTTAGGTGTAGGCTCCTCTTTCCCAAACTGTTGTCTAGTGAATCTAACCCCCTTCTCTTTATACCATCTCCCACCCATGCAATAAGACTGAAGTTGCCTGTCTAGCTGGCCCTGCACATGGAGCAGGCAGTATTTCAGAGAAAGCAAAAGTAGAGGACAGCAGACTTAATCCTTTCTCCTGATAATCTAAAATGAGCAGAGTGAGTGACCCAGCTGTCAATCTGAGCACATGGTCTCCCACTGCTGGGGGTCTGTGTGCTGGGATCACAGCATTGTCTTGTGGCTGGCAGCGCTGATGGTTTTTTAATGTCTCACCCCCAGGTACTGGTGCTGTGCTTTGTTCTGGTCCTGGGATCCATGATGCCATGTCTCCCAGAATTCTCCTCCACATCACAGACAGTGAAAGCAACTCCGGCACCAGACATTTATACAACCAGTAAAAGTGAGTCCGACGTGACACATTCCTCTAATCCCCAGATTAGAGGAACTCCCAACCCCTCTCCTCTTGATAGATATACAGCAGGGAGAGCTGTCTCACAACAGTGCCCTGTCTATGCCTGACTGGGCCCTGCCAGGGAGAGCTGTCTCACAGCAGTGTCCTGTCTATAGGCACCGACTCCGTGGGTGCTGGGGGGCTGGAGCACCCATGGGAAATAATTAGTGGGTGCTCCACCCCCACTGGCAGCCAAGCTTCCTGCGCCCCCACCCCCTCCTTGCCGCCTCCTCCTCCCCACCGAGCGCGCCGTGACCCCGCTCCTTCCTCTCCCTCCCAGCACTTCCCTCCCACAGCCTAACAGTTGTTTGGCAGCACTTAGGACTTTCTGGGAGGAAGGGGGGAGGAGCACGGATGCAGCATGCTCAGGGGAGGAGGCGGAGAAGAGGCAGGGCAGGGGCGGGGACTTGGGGGAAGGGGGTGGAATGGGGGTGGGGTGAGGGCAGTGCAGGGGCAGGGCCAGGGGGGCGGGCGAGCACCCACTGGGCAGAGGGGAAGTCGGCGCCTATGGCCCTGTCTGTGCCTGCCTGGGCCCTGCCAGGGAGAGCTGTCTCACAGCAGTGCCCTTCTCCATTTGCCATTGTACCAAAACATGACAGATGCTAAAAGACAGGATGGGAGAAGAAAATCACGGATTCGTCTCCATTCCCCACAGAGCAGGCTGAGTGTACTCCAGGGACACTGTGTATGGACGTAGGTGTTGGGCTCAGGCAGCTGAAGTGGGACAGGCTGTGTTGGCTTGTGTGGCTTACAATGTGCTGGGGTGACTGTGTGCTGGACGGCTTATGCCCCTGGGTTCTGCTCCTGTTCTCAGCATTGTAATGGTGCTCTCTCCATTTACAGTTCAGTCCCGGAGCCTCCTGTTCTATGACGAGGGCGCTGGCTCCGTAGAGGAAGGCTACAGCTCCTTCCTCCCTGTGGAGCATCCTGTGGGCCGGGAGACGGATGAAGGGCAATCTGAGGAGAGGAGACCTCAGGAGCGCATACTGGGCCACCTGGCCAGGGCCCACGAGACAGCCAAGTACCTGAGCAAATCCCAGCTGGGGGCCCCGGACCAGAACCAAACTGACCCAACTCTGACTCACCTCAAAGAGCAGATCCAGGAGAGGTAAGCAGGCTGGAAACGCCTCTCCCTGCCCTGCCTACTCCAGGGCCTTTGTCTCCAAGCCCCAAAAGGGCGGAGTGTGAGAGGGGGAGAGCATCAGAGTAACCCTGTGCCCCGAGCAAGGGGAGCTCTTTGACACAAGGCTCGGAGCTGGCAGGATAGACGAGCTCCCTTCCTGTTTCTGTCTCCTGGGAGTGCACTAATCCAGGCACTGTGGCTGAAGGGGGCTGCTCCCTGCAGGGAACAGAGGACCACGTGAGGCTCCATGGATCAAAAGAGTGGGGTCCACAAGTGGGTTTAGAAAGTGGAGTTGCTCTGGCATAGCGACCAGTAGACACGAGGGGGCTGGATGGCTAAAGGGTTCCAACATTTGCAGGTTGGTCAGTGCCCAGGTGCAATGGGCTGGGACTGGGAGACTCCATCCTGATCAGTACAAACCAGTACCCACAGCAAAAGACATCCCCTCTTATTTGGCCCTCTTTGTTCCCATTGTAGATAGTCTGAGCAGTGAGGCCATCAACGAAAGGGGCAGAGATGGAACTGAAGTTTCCTCTCACTCCTCACCCTGCTGGGCAGAAGGGCAGATCAGCTAGATGCAGATCAGTGAGTGGGTGGGGAATAAAGGGAGAGGAAAAAGGGATCCTAGAGGAGTTCTCTGCTCCCAAAACTGAAATAAGGGGAGGTATGAAATTAACTCTCCTGGGATTGTGGAAAGAAGTGGGCCCAGTGGGTTGGACAGAAAATGCTGCCCTCTCTTGGCTAGGGTTAGAGCAGTGCCCATGGCTGGGAATAGATGGTAAACGCAGCAAATCTGATTGCTGTCTTTTCTTTCCCACAGGGAGGCACGCTCCAGTGACGCAGCTGAATCTTTGTAGCAGTTGCCGAACCTCAAGGCCTCGTCCCTCTGGATGCAGACTCCCCTCCTCGCTGAGTGATTGAGGGGACTTGGTGGGAGAGGACACTGCATTCAGACACTCCCATGCTGGTCTTGGGTTCAGCCTGTCACTTCCCCACAGCCCATGTTAGTGCTGATCTCTCGGATGAGATTCACAGTCACTGCCAGAACCAGGGATTGTGTCTGCCCAAGCCCTTCTCTCCTCCCTGTGTGAGCATTGCCTCACCAGTGTGTGTTCACCCTGTTGCTGGGCTGGAGGAGGAGGAGATCTGTATGTGACCTCAGAGGTATCCAACTCATTCCCCAAAGCCTCCAGATTCAGGGGGCAGTGCCCAATTCTGTACCCCTTGCTCATGTCAGATGCACCTGAAGGAAAGAGAGCTAAGTTTATTGCCTAGCTGAGAGGCTATGGCCATGGTAACTTTGGGGTTAGTCTCCTAGAGAATTTGGGAGTGAGATAATTTCCTCCCCTCACTCCATGGCTAATATGCTTCTGCCTCAGCTGAGAGAAGACCTACCTTGATCTAGTTGTCTTTTGATGGATTGCCCACGTAACTTCCATTCTGATCATCTGCAGAGATCAGTGCACAGATTTTGTGGGGAAGACTCCAAACTCTGATAAATTGACTTAAAATTCAGTCCGCAGCTCTTAGAGAAACCAGAGCTCCCTAAGACAGAGCACGATTCTCCCTGCCCACTCCCCACAGACCCTTCCTTATGGAACGAAGTTCTCCGTCGTGTGATGGTGAGGCCCCAGTATCCACAATAAATGGAATAAATGAGCAAAAAGAAGAACAGGAGTACTTGTGGCACCTTAGAGACTAACAAATTTATTAGAGCATAAGCTTTTTTGTTAGTCTCTAAGGTGCCACAAGTACTCCTGTTCTTCTTTTTGCGGATACAGACTAACACGGCTGCTACTCTGAAACCTGGAATAAATGAGGGTCACCAAAGAGAGCTGTGGGTCTCCACTCTCTAGATGCTGGCACCAAAGTTACCAGGCTCTTCACCCCTTTAACTCCAGGACTTGCTGAATCTGGTGTTGAAACTGTCTTATCTCTAGCTCTGTGTCAGAGGCCTCACTCCAACCCAGAGAGGTTCCCCCCTCCCCACAAAATCTCCCTGTAGCTACCCGGAAAGGCCCTGCTGGAAGAGTTGCATGTTTCCTTGCTCCTCTTCCTTCAGCTGCCCCTTGTTAAAAGAACTGTTCCAGGCCCAGTGCCTGGAGCCGTCCCTGAGGCCAGACCTGGTCTGGGTTGCCCTACTTTTGTAAATAGGAGTTACCATGTCCTTGCCCATTCTCACTCTCCTCCAGACACTTCTTTGGCTCATTTTTCTCAACTTCCCCAAAAATAATAATAATAAAAAGAGGTCCCCTCTCAACACCTTGCTGCTGCCCTTCTCTCCTCCTCTGTCCACCTCCTCCTCCACCCTGAGACTGCAAATAGGAGGTGACTCCCAAAGGAGGAGGGATGGGAAGGCTCTCGCTGACTTGTGGACTTCAAGTCAAGGAACAGGATGGGGCAGGAGGGCTGCCCTCACTTCCCTCTCTTCTCCGTTTTGTTTTGTTTTGTTTGACTCTTGGAGCCACTTGGGACAGACCTGGACACAGCAAACCCCAGCCATGATTCCACATGCACTCTGCCATGGGCATTGGAAGAGGAAGATCCTTCAGAACAACTCTGCTCCAGTCAAGGTCCACCCAGGACCCACTCACCAGACACCCACTGCACCTCCCTTCCTTGTGCCCCACTCCACAGTACAGAACCACTGTCAGGTCTGAGTATACACTCTTCCCCCACGTCTCCTTACCCAACAATTCCATCTGACCGCCCACACGGGCCTTCCATTCACACCGTTGTACAGAGACCAAGAGCAGAAATTGTTTGTACATAATGAACCTTATTTTGTATTATTGCCGACCCCTTAAGATATTGTATTTTGGAGACTCTCTGATCTTATTTTCAGTATTGTATTTTATTAAGAGTTAGTGCGGGCTTGGCCTCTATGAATTTCCATCCTTTTGGGGACTCTTTTTTCCCCATATAGCCCAGCAGCTGCCTTTTCCTTTGTTTTGTTTTAAATCACTTTTTTCCTCCTGTCACTTGCTCTGCTTTCGCTTTGGAGAAGCAAAATTAAAAAAAAGATGCAGCATCAGCACTTTGTTTGGGCCTTTCTTTCAGGCGTCAGCTTGCTAACTTGTATGTGCAGCCTTGCCCCTAACGTCTGGTGCTCCCAGCTCTCCCTACATGCACAGAAGTCCCTAAGCAGTGGGACCTGGTGGTCAGAGCTGGCATCTGGGTGTGAACTTGGGAGTTCTGTTTTCACCTGAGCCAGTGACTTGTTTTGTAGCTATGGGAAAGTCACAACCACTGTTACTCTTGAGGACATTCTGTGCCAAAAAATGAAAAATTCTGCGCACAAAATTTAAAATTCTGAAAAATTCTGCAAGTTTTATTTGTCAATAAATAAATGCAGAGGCTCTAGCATGACAGTGAGGAGCACAGGTCACTGGCTGTACGAAGGTGGGGGATCACCCTACAGCCCCCCACCCCCAGGACACGGACTCAGTGGTGAGGCTGCACCCAATCCTGACACAGCACAAGGCCTGGGCCTGCCCCAGACATACCCGGGGGCGCGGCTCCTCTGTGCCAGGTGCACCAAGGGCAGGCAGGCTCAACCAGGCAGAATCCAAGTGTGGAGGGGCTCAGTATGGGGGGATCCAGGTGTGGGGTGAGAGGATTCTGTGTGGGACAATCTGGGTGCAGGCAGCTCAGTGAGGGGTCTAGGTGTGGGGGGATCTGGATGTACAGAGGGTTGTTGGAGGGGTTCCAGGTGCAGGGACAATGGGACTCTCCAGGCGCTTCCCGGTGAAAGTGGTTGGGGCTCAGTGGAGGGGTCTAGGTGTGGGGGTCTCAGCAGGGGGGTCTTAGTGCTGGGGGAGTAGGCCTTGGTGGGCTGGGGGTCTGGGTGCAGCTAGTTGGGAGTCATTGGCATGCGGGTCTGGATGTGGGGGCTCAGAGAGGTGCAGGGGGTGGGGCTTGTCAGAGTGGGGGTTTAAGTGCAGGGAGCTCAAGTGGGGGGGTGGTCTGGGTGCAGGGGTGGAGGTCTGGGTGCAGTGGGCTCCAAATACAGGGGTTGAGGTTCAATGGGGTGGGGTTTGGGTATGGAGGGCTCGAGGGGTTCTGGGTATGGAAGGTCTGGATGTGCAGGGGTTGGGCGGATGCGGGAGCAGCTCCCCGTACAGTGACCCCTCCCGCCGCAGCTGAGGAGCGACGGGGGCAGGAAGCAGGGGAGGATGCTGAGCTTCCTGCAGCTGGGGGAAGTTTCTGGGAATGGGTCTGACACAGCCCCAGACACTCCTTGCAGGGGAAGGGGCAATCCCTTGAATTCTGTGCATGCGCAGTGGTGCAGAATTCCCCCAGGAGTTCACTGTACCTCAGCTTCCGCATCTGTAACACAGGGCTACTGCCTTCCTCCCACGGGTTGGTGAGGATTATGAATAAAAATCTGTAAAGTGCTACCAATGGGCCTAGGGCTGTTATGTCTATGGATGGGGGCATCATTAATAGCTCCATAGGTAAGGTTTCAATTAAAGCAGCACTTAAATCTCTTTGTTGGCATCACAACAAAATGCCTACACCTACTTTTAGGGTAAAGACTTAGGGCCTGTTTCTCTGTTATCCTGCACCTGTTGTACCATTTACACCAGCAAAAGTGGTAGCATTTGACACCTACTTTGCACAAGGTGTAGGGGAATGGAGAATCAGGTCCTTAGCTTTCTGGAAGGTTCCAAGTGGCTCCATCCCTGATTGAGGGATTGAAGTGGCCCCTTCTTATGTTTCCACGCTTGTGGTCTACCTTTTGTTCAGACCCCTCTGACTGGCTGCTTTCAAACCTGGAACCTTACGGAGATGGAAAGGGTGCGAATCTGAATTGATGTCACCCATTAAAACAACAGGGCTTGTTATTTCTGACCATTTTCTTTGTGGGGAGCTGAATGGACCCACTACCTGACGGGGCTGTGAGATGCACTGTCTTTGGGTGAGTTTGCACTCCAGGATCTGATGTAGTGCCTGTGGCTGGTTACTCTGTGATGTAGGGTCTCTCCAGAGTCCCTTTGCAGGGAGAGGTGGCTGCCCCCCTCTATTTCAGTCCACATCGTACAGGAGAAAAAAGGAAGTCTGACTTCCCTTTTTGCCCTATGATCCATGTGGCTGCAGTTTGTATCCTGGGCTGGGCTGCACTTGCAGGTCAGTCAGTGACATGCATTTAAAATAATGCACACTCTTTAGGTGAGGTCTGGCATGGTCTGTCACCAGGGAAAGAGGGTGAGGCAGAAGGATGTAGAGGGAGGGAATGTACTCAGGTTTGCTATTCTGGCTTTTCCCTCTACACATTTCTGGTGTGGGGGCTGCTCATCGTTTGCAGCCCTTAGATAGGTTTAAGTAGAGATTGGAGGAGTTTTCTCTCTGGTACCTTTCCTAAACAAGCAACCAGCTAACCTTGCGATAACGTGTAAGATTCCATCCCTCCCCATTGTGCCCCTTCCAGAGGTAGAGGTGTCTCTCCCTGTATCTCATGATCTCTTAGCTCTCCAACAATGGAAGTGCCAGCAGGAGAGGGACCACCTTTTTGTTTTCTCTGTGGACCCTCCCTGAGCTCATCACACAAATAAGGACTCATCACATCTTCCTTTGCTATTCCCACACATTCAGGGCAAGTGACTCAAAAATGGTGCTCTTAAAAGGAAGCATTCTGAACTTCTGAACGCTCCAGCCCTTTAAAACTGATGTATGCTGAGAAGACCAGACCTCCTTGCTGACAGCAGCCAATTTCACTTCATCTTCTTGACACATCCTCTTGCTATCACAGTCCACAGGCTAAATTGTGGAGCTGTGCAAAATATTCATTTTAGGATCCTTTGATCATTGCTATAACTCCCGGACAATCACACCTCTCACTTTAACTGCAGTGACTGACTGGATCAGAACAAGAAAATTAATTAGCAAGAGGGTTAGCACAGGGAGAAGGTCCTAGGTCCACAAAGCCGGTACTTGGGCACCTAAACTCAGCGTGTAAGTTTTCAGAATCAAAGTTCCCTCGGTGCCTATGTTTCAGGACGTGTATGTACGCCTGCCTCCCTCTAGGCGCTCAGATGCTTGGCTCCTGCCTAAGCACCAGCGTGAGCCACGAACCAGCAACAGACAGGCGTTCGGCCAACTACGTCTGTGTGGGGCCCAATCTGGTAGGTGTGCTCAGAGGCTGCCTACCAGAGCAGGTCTCATTCAAAATCTGAGTGGAGGTGGAGCCACTGCTGTCCACCTTGTAACTTTTAGCCCAGTGGTTGGAGTGCACACTGGGATATGGGAGACCCCTGTTCAATTCCCCCTGCTCTGCCGGAGGGGGTGAAAGGATTTGAAGAGGGTGGTGCTGAGCTATGGGATAGTCTGATGTGCGGCTTCCTCAGTCTCTCCTGTTGAACCTGTTCCACTGTGAATAACTAATTAATAACAAATTATCAGAGTAGGGGGCCTGGGCCCCGTATCTCTTGCCTCCCAGGTGGGTACCCTAACACTGCACTGCAGACTCACTCTCACGCTCTCTCTGATTAGGGTGCCCATATGTTTTGGCCAGGACAGTCCCTTTTTTAAGCCCTGTCCCAGCTGTCCTGCTTTTTTTTTTTGGCAAAAGTGGGATTTGTCCCGTTTGCTCTTGTCAAACTGATCAAGATCGCAAGAGCAAACGGGACAAATGTCCACTTTTGTCAAAAAAGTGGGGTGCGGTACAAGGAACATTTGTGGGGGGGGGAGTGGAGATGCCAGCCCGTTGCCTTGGGGAGGCTGGGCTGGAGGGAGGGGGAGTAACGGTTCCAGTGTGTGGGGGACCAGCCAGGTTCCAGCAACAGCCTCGAGTGGGGGGGGGGGCGGTGTAGTGGCACAAAGTGCTCCCTGGCAGAATTTCCTATCTAGGTTGTACTGAACATGATCAGATGAACTGAGTCAGCTCAGTAACATCTGCTGAAGCCGCGCTGCCTATCCTTACATGGCAGTAACTGCTACTGGTGGGAAGATGTGCCAGTTGCAGTTTATGCCACTACTATATTGGCAGGGTTCGAGTGACCAGTGACAGCCGGGGGAGGGGGCACCTTGGACAAGCAGCTGGGGCCAGCCCCGCTCAGTGTTCCATTTTCCCTTTGGGAAACATGGTCACCCGATCTCTGACACAATGGCTCTTGCACCGCTGCAGACAAATACTTAGTCGTTGGGCCAGAGAGAGAGGATGACTCCTTAATCCAGTGGTCAGGGCACCCACATGGGAGCGCGGAGACCCAGGATCCAGTGCCCTGCTCCCATCACTCTTTCATTATTTTGCCCCAGTGGAACAGGAGAGATAGAAACAGGATGACAGCAGCAATGGACAGGAAAGGAGAGAGAGAGATATGTTCATCATCCTGCTACTCTCTCCCGTGCCAGGATATTTATTAGCTGCAGCTCCTGGAACAATATCCTGCAGCTGGGACTCCAAGTTGTGGGAGCTGGTGCACCAGGTAACTCAGGAGACCTTGCAAACACAGACCACCCCCCCAAGTCCCCTGCTTTTAGCCATAACCTCAATACCGTCATCATCAGTAAGAGAAATTTGTCACAGGCAGCCACCCCCAGCTAATGCTGACTCAGTTCTCCCAGGGAGAATGGAAATCACCCCCCCCCCCCAACCTCCAGAATCACTGCAGATGACTCCTCTAATTAGCCCAGGGTGTCAAACCCAGGTGTTAGAGGAAATGTCACAGCACAAAAGTCACTAATGAACTAGCTGCAGGGGTTAGTAAATAGCTAAACTGGAAATGCCTACAGCACCTCCTGTTGCGAGAGGTTCGGGCTGCAGCAGCTGTGAGATGGCTCACAACCAGCTCTTGCTTCCTAAGCATCTGCTGGAATAGGCTGGGCTTGGAGTAACTGAGACCACCGCCCCTCTACCAGTGTTCCTGCCCTGTTTCCTAAAGTGCCTCTTCTGGGAAAGGCCAGGAAAAGGAGCAATAAACTTCCTCACCTCTAGGACTCCTGCACCTTTTCCTGTGGCCAATGTTGAGAGCTGCACCCCAGAAGCCATTTGCAAGTGCACACATGAAGAAGTTATATTGGGCTTATAAAACT